AGGTGCTGCACTAGTCAGCTCTTTGACAGTTTTATTCAACATAGGTGTAATGAGGGCTCTCCTAGTCAGTGACATATTGTAGTGAACATCTGTCAACAATTCTCCTGACTCACTAAGAATGACAAGAACTGTGTTCTTGTTTTCTTTATTATCCTCTTCCTTCAAGAGGATGTTGATACCAGCCCCTAGGGCAGCAAGGCCCTGTCCTAACTGGCTCTGGTTCAGCTGTTGTAACTTGTCTTTCTTATGTGTATTTGAAGGCATAGCCTTCAGAATTTCAGGGTTTATATCTGGGGCCTTCAACAATGTTAAATTAGTTGGAGGCAAATGTAGCTCCATTAGCCTTTCTTTTTCTCCTTTATCAAGCCCTTGTGTGAGTATGGTTTTCCATCTCTTTTGGACTACTGAGTGTAGTTCATATGTCTTCTTGGTATCCTTGTGAAGGTCTTCCCCCAATGCTTCTAGGGTGTAGGATGTCATCATCTAGCTTGACATCTTTATCGATGATGACAACATTTTGTGGTATTCCACATTCCATATAGGTAATGGTGGTATTCCACCAATCGGAGAGGAAGGTGGTGTGCCACCACTGCCACCTTGGGAAAATTCATTTCAACTTTCTGGACTTTCCAGACTATAGGTCGCGTGCACGATGACCGACCCTGGAGGCAAAATATTGAAACGCAACCTCATTCTTCTGTGAATTATTGAAACACAACCTCACTTTTTCATTTGGTTACAGAGGAATCAAAGGATTGAAATGGTTTTTCACTTATGGGTGTGTATACTGTGCTTATACCCAACTAAATACTCATTATGCTCATGATATGACTTCCACCCCAGATGGGGCTGAGGGGTCCAATATTATTTTTTGATGAATAATTCTCTGAAAGGTTACTTTATTCTCCTACTCAATCCTTTGGTTGTCTCATATGTTTATTGTGCTTTTATTAAATTTTCAGTAAAAAAAGGCCAACTACAGGTTGTCAGTGCTGTTTAATCCAGATAGAGTGGATGATGTCCACAAAGAGATTGCTACAGAGAAATTCAAGGCTCTAGGAAAGATCCACTCTATCCTGCAGAATCCAGACAAGCACAATCTGTATAATAAAAGTGGACAATTTGATGATGAAATGGACACATTCTTCAATTGTATGGACTATTGGAGAAACATGTTCAAGAAGATTGAGATAAAGGACATACAAAAGTATGAACAAGAGTATACATTGGCTCAGACACTGAACTCAGAGACATAAGAGCATATGTTGGTTCAAAAGGTATATTGCTAGGATATATTGCATTTTATACTTGAGGTTGTTATCAATATTAATACAATACATATATTGATGTCCATTTATGTATTAACAACATTTCAAACTAAAAAATACCAAAACGATTCGTCGAAATACGCGTTTATTCACTGATACATCATGCATATTTATCAAAAGCATATTTTATGACGATTTTTCAAGACAAAGTGTTGGTATTGATTATGAGCTCAATAACTATCGGACTATCAGTAGTACAACAAAGCTGATTGATCGCCAGAGCCGCAATAAAATGCCGCTAGTTAGCGTTGGCGCTGGTGTCGCTGGTGTTGCGAAGTTCAAATTTGCAGATGGCGGCGGCGCTGATGGCGGTAAATTTGAAATTGTGAGGTTATGACATCTTAATCATGATGAATTTTTAAATAAATAAATAAATTAAAAAAAGCTGTTTTGACCGCGCCGGTGGGGGAAATTGAACCAGGGACCTTTGCATTATGAGGCAGCGTATATACGCACTGTGGTATTCCGACCTCCGTGATATTTCAATTATTTAAATGCTATTCAAACGGGATATCCATGGCTGGCGCGCGCGCTTATCTTTGCAACGGATCCATCGAGGTAGAGTGAAGCGAGAGATGCATTCCAGAGATAAGAAACTTCGAGTCGAAAATAATATCCATCGCAGGCGCGCGCGCTTATCTTTGCAACGGATCTATCGAGGTACAGTGAAGCGAGAGATGCATTCCAGAGATAAGAAACTTCGAGTTGAAAATAATATCCATCGCAGGCGCGCGCTTATCTTTGCAACGGATCTATCGAGGTAGAGAGTAAGGCGGCTCGAGCGCGCGGTGCTGCAACGTTGTCGGACGTATGTGTTTGGATGTTAATATTGTTACATTATTGTGTGTGGCAACGCTGTCTCGCTTCATGGCGTTCGAAGATCTAGCAAAGCGAGAGATCCCTTAGAATGATAAGCGCGCGCGCGCTCTCTCTCGTATTGGAAACAAATACTCGAATAATTAATTATTTATTTTATAGTGGGTGACGACGCGTCATGCTGTTGTTTTTTTTTTCTTCTGGTAAAATGACATCACGTGACGTGTGTGGGTACTCTCTCTCTCAAAATAGGATTTTTTATGGACAATTCTCGGAAATGCCAATATATGCCTATATGCAAAGTCGCATGGTTTGAGGGATATCGTTCTACCATTGACATATGTCATTAATGGTACATAAATGCGAAATGAAACTACTACTACTACTACGAGGAAAATTATTGATAGATAATCAATTTTTTTATTTCACAGTAAAGCTTTTTTACAAAAATAGCATGATTCTTGAGAAGATGGCGGTCCATCCCAGTGAGTAGTCCAATCAGGGTGCGCATGCAAATCAAGACATAAAAATGGGGTAGTTGGGTGTTTTGCGACAGTCTTCCAATGTCTGTGGCAGAGTACAAACGTCAGTTGCAGGAATTCCAGAAGAAAATAAAAGAACTAGAAGCTACAATAAAACATTACGAGGATAAGCAGCTGATCATTAGAAATTTTTCGAGAATTACATTATTAGAAGACGCTATCAAAACTCGACGCATACCTACAACGCAGCAAACTACGAAAAAAATATGGCTATTTTGAAAGCAACATACGTATTGCTGTTCGCAATTATGAACAATATATTGTACATGAATGTGCCGAACAAAGTTAGCGAAGCGGGAATTTGTTTCAATAATCGATCATGTCAGTGGATTGGTATGAGAAGAGGGTACATCAATGATGGTCGGATGGAAGTATTCTCAATACAAGTGCCGAAAAACGCAACGAAATATAGAATTCGTTTGATTTTCGATGATAGGACCTTTGGGGAGCTAGGACAATGGCAGTTTTTCGAAAACACATCAACAACAATTATTCCGACATCCCCAGCACCAGTGGACCATGAAAAATTCGTCACATCATCGAATATTATATCGAATATTAATTTAGCATTCATAGTCGTGATAATTCTGATAAATATCATTCAGTTATTTTTCATGAAGAAATAAAATCGAATATAATCAACTTGTTGTGCATATTTTCCGTTTAGAATTCACTGATTTGGTCGGTAACTTCCTGCGATAATGATGAAGTCTCATACGATTGCGGTTGCTGTTTTTTTCCAACGATTCAGATTGTAGCG